AAATTCAAATCTTAGAGAACAGTGTTAGTCTTAGAAACTCATACTAACTTCGCTCAAGAACTGTTTTGTAAGAAAATGATACATAACTGCTAAGATTGGTGAATACATTTAAAGGATTATAGCACTTAGTAAATGTTAGAGGAGAGTGTTTCCAGAATTTTGTAGGCGAGAATAATTTCTTGGCCAGACTGGTATAAGCCTAAAGCCACGTTCTCAGTATGGAACTTAGGCTGGAGTTCTTCCAGTCCCATGATGACCCTTTTCCACACTTAGGGATGTGTTCTAATGCTCTTCCACAGAGAAATTTGCTGCTGGAGATGGGATTGAACATGAGTGACTCCAGGAGCTACTACTTCACCCTTCTCTTAAGCTTTCTGGCAGCTCTGTTGAGTTATTTTGCTTAAGAAACTTGAAAACAACGTGCCTTGGGCACATAAAACTTGATTGCAAAGCACTTCATTTTCGCTTTGCTGCTGTTGCTGACTTAAATTTTATATCTGAAGATGAAAAATCATCCTCAAATTACAATCATTATAAGAGATTGTTATTCAAAAATTGTATTGAAATGTTTACTTTTAGTTTTCACTTTTGTTAGAATGTATCTATTTAATAATTAACTATTGACTGTTGGCCAAAAACCTTCTAGGCTCCACATTACAAAAATCCAGCCTCTATATTTATCTTTGGCCTCTCTGGTGAAGAGATACTTTATGATACACTTTAGATTCAGCTTTTATTCAGTTGGGCCTAACTTCTTATTTTTTTGCATAATTTACTTCATTCCTTTTAGTTAATAATTTTTTCTTTCTAAATAGGTTCTTAGCATTAATTCATTTTATGTATACTATTTATTATGTGTACTTACCATTTACTCAACCCGAAATCTTCTCATCTCAAGATACTTATTTTCATCAAATATTCTATTTCATTTTACCTGGTCCCACTTAGACTGATTGCCCTCTCTACTAGTTGTATAGCCATCTTCTTTGATTTATTTCCCTTGAATTGAATCTTTTGTTCAAAATTCTGTGTCTTCCTTTTGGTTTATTACTTCATTCTGATAGAGTGCATTTTCTAGAAGCATCCTGAGACAGGGTATTGGAAGTACAGTTGACCTCAACTCCTTTGAACAGTGCAGGAGTTAAGGGCATTGGCCCCTGAAGAGTTGAAAATCTATGTATAACTTTTGACTGTCCCAGAACTTAACTACTAATAGCCTGATGTTGACCTGAAGTTTAATGATAGTCAATTAACATGTTTTGTATGTTATATTTTATTATATACTGTCTTCTTACAATAAAGTAAGCTAGAGAAAAGATGTGAAGAAAAATCATAATATTAAGACAATTTCTTTTGAGAAAGAGAAAATACATTTGCAGTACTGTAGTATTTATCCAAAAAAATCTGTGTAGAAGCGGACCTGCACAATTCAAACTTGTGTTGTTCAAGGGTCAACAGTAAATGTTTTGAAATGTCTGGAAATGTCTTGTTTTCTTTTCCTTTTTTTTTATAAAGATTTTGTTTGAGAGACAGTGCATGAGCAGGGGGTGGGGCAGAAGGAGAGAGAGTAGCAGGCTCTCCATTGAACTGGGAGCCCAACACAGGGCTTGATCCCAGAATCCTGGGATCATGACCTGAGCCAAAGGCAGATGCTTAACCGACTGAGCCACCCAGGTGCCCCTGGAAATGTCTTGTTTTCTACTCACATTTGATTGGTAGTTTGACTGGGTATAAAGTTCTAGGCTATAAATTATTTTCCTTTAGAATTTTGTGTTACTCCATTGTCTTCTAGCTTCTGTTATTTTTGTTGGATAGTCTGGTTCCTGATTCTTGGTGTGACTTTTTTTTATCTCTTTCTAGAAATTGAAACATTTTCTTTTCATCCCCGATATTCTCAGATTTCATGATGATTTGCCATGATTTGATTCTGTTTTCATCCATTGTATTGAGCCTTTAAATTTGGCAACCAAGTTCTGGGAAATTTTCCTGAGTTATATTTAGGTTCTTTCTTTTTTGAATTTTTTTTTTTTTGAATTGATTGAATCCTGTTCTCTGAATGTTTCTATTTAAAAAAAAAGTATTCTGTTCTTGTTTCATGACTGCATTATTCTCTGGTTAACTGAGGATATTGGTTTTTTTTTAAGTTTATTTATTTTTAATATGTTTTTATTTAAATTCAATTAATTAACATATAATGTATTATTATTAGTTTCAGAGATAGAGTTCAGTGATTCATCAGTCTTACTAAATACTCAGTGTTCCTTACATCACGTGCTCTCCTTAATGTCCATCATCCAGTTATCCCATCCCCCCACCCTCCTCCCCTCCAGCAACCCTCAGTTTGTTTCCTATGATTAAGAATCTCTTATGGTTTGTCTCCCTCTTTGATTTTGTCTTGTTTTATTTTTCCTTCCCTTCCCATATGATCCTGTTTTGTTTCTTAAATTCCACATATGAGTGAGATTGTATAATTGTCTTTCTGTGATTGACTTATTTCACTTAGCATAATACCCTCTAGTTCCATCCACATCATTGCAAATGGCAAGATTTCATTTTTTTGATGACTGCATAGTGTTCCATTGTATATGTGTACCACATCTTTTTCCATGTTTCAATGGGTATCTGGGCTCTTTCCATAGTATGGCTATTGTGGACATTGCTGCTATAAATGTTGGGGTGCAGGTGCCCTGTCGGATTACTGCATTTGTATCTTTGGGGTAAATACCCAGTAGTACAATTGCTGGATCATAAGGTAGCTCTATTTGCAACTTCTTGAGGAACCTCCGTACTGTTTTCCAGAGTGGCTGCACTAGCTTGCATTCCCACCAACGGTAATACTGGTTTTTTTTAAAGACATTTTCTTCTACGTATATAGACTGTATTCCCTCTAGTATTTGTTGATTGATTGATTGATTGTTTTGGTTTTTCATTTCATGTTAGAATTTTTTATCTGATGCCTGAGCATTTTTAAAGAGTGGATAAGAGTTTTATCAGTGGATAAAATGCTGATAAGATCTCTTTAGATGAATATGGCTTGCAAAATATGAGGTAAACTATACAGTGTACTAGCTGATCCATTTTTGGAGTGAAGTCCTGCTTTAGTATCTTCAGAATTTTTCTCTTGGATCTGTGCCATTCCCTAGGGACTCTTCTAGCCTCCTGAATGGCTAACAATGTTCTGGGAGCTAGGTGGAGGCAATTGGGAATCTCTGTTTTCTCTTATTTTAATCCCTTGCTTTTGGTGGTATTCTCATCTTTCACTGTGCCTGAAGATGGTTCAGGTACGCTATGTTTTACCTTCTCCAGAGAATAAAATTAGTCTTCTGTTGGTTAGGAAATAGTGATTGCTCAGTGGCATGGAGAGGAATAAAATATTGAGGGATAAATTGCTTCTTAATTCATTTGCAGCCAGTCATGTTCTACCCACCCACCCACTCCCAGCTTCCACTTCCAAAGATAATTTGTGCCACCAATTTCTGAGTCTTTTAGGATTCTTGGTGTAACTCAAGTTGCATTCTAGTTTTCCTCACAGTCAGCTTGAAATGCTAATATTTTGAATCTTCTAAGTCAGTTACTACTTATCTATTTACTTTATAGTTTCTAAGATGTTGTTACTGCTGTCTTCTAGTTATTCTTGAGGTTTTATGCCTTTTTAAACCATCTTGGACTGTAGTTTTAAGGTAGTGTGAAATTAGATGTACATGTTCAGCTTATTCTCTTTATCAGAAGTTCTAAAAGTAAAAATTATTCATGTTCGTGTTTAAAAATTGCAACAGTATTTGTAAAGGTATGAAATAAGGAATAAAACATTTTCCTCTACTTTTCCCTGAATACACACCACCCAGAGGTAACTAGAGTAAGTTAACATGTGTACCCTTCCAGATATTTTTTATTTATATTTTTATCTATAAAGAATAATGCATATAGTATGAAGAATCAAAAATGAAATTTTACTGTATAAATACACATATGGTACATAGTATAAACATACTATGTATATTTAATATTTGTCAAAATTATGGAGTTCCATGTTGATCTGTACATCAATATGTACAGATGTCTTAATTTTTATTTAACTGTTTAATACTGTTATATTGCGTGAGCTTTTCCTGATAAGATCCCAGTTGTTAGATACTTGTTTCCTATTCATCTTTTTAATATTATTACCAATATTATTACCAATTATTACCAATAGTGCTACTATAAATATTCAGATACACATACTTTTTCACTACTTGTTAAGTATAGTTTTCGTTTAACTTTTAAGAGTGGAATTATTTAGTCAAAGGGTATATGCACTTTACTCTTCAAAGAAGTTATGCCTCTACTAATTGTATATAAAAGTGTCTTTTTTAATACCCTGTGTGACTTAGCTATTATCAGGTTTTAAAATCTTTGGCATTCTGATAAGTGACAAATGCTATCTTGTCATTTTAATTTGCTTGTTCTAATTATGTGTGAGGTTAATTGTGCTTATTGGACATTCCTTTTTTTTTTATGAGCTGCATATTCAGTTCACTTAGCCATTATTCTGTGGATTATTCATCTTTACCAGGTCGACTTGTAAGAAGAGCTCATTAAACTGGGAAGAATTTTGCCATTTATTTCTCACATGTCTTGCAGATATTTCCCCAGAATTGTCCTTTATATTTTTGACATTGGTTACTGCATTTTTGCTATATGGTCAATATATTTTAAAATGAAAAATTATTGAACAAGTATTGGCTTTACTCTCCCTGGCCCAAATTATTTTCTTTAGAGTTTTAAAATGTTACAAAGTGTTTGAGCTATTGATTTAACATTTAGAAGTTATCAACAATACTTTATTTCAATTAACTAGTATATAGAGTAAATTAAAATTTTCTTTAATTCTGATTCTAACTTGAAAAAGACCATTAACTAAAAAAGAAAAGACCACTAATTAAAAGACCACTAATTAAACTTCATGTTCATATATCTTATGTTATTTAGCTAAAAAAGATTTCTTTTTTCAGTGTTCTACGCAAGAGTTCTTCTTGATTGTCAAAACCCTGTATCACCTGAAGTCAGAATTTCAAGCATTAATACCTGCTGTTAATTCCCACGTTCGGTCAGATTTGCTCCAGACATTTATTTTAGAAATTCCTGAACTCCTCAGTCCAGTGGAACGTTACTTAAGGATACTTAATGAACAAGCTGCCAAGTAAGTAGTAGACTCTTAGATTACTGTCACTGCTGGAAAGGAAGAACTAATAGATTTGCCATTTGTCGTATGGATTCGTAAGCTTCCCTCGCGGCACTGGTAGACGTTGCATTTGAAATTAGAAATAGGATGGGATGCTAAAGGCTGTCTGTGATAGCTGAAAGTAACCCTCTGCCATCTAAAACTTAAGCAGTTCATTATCAAGGACAGATGACAGTACTTCTCCAGGTACCAGATGATGAAAAGATAAAGTCCAGGCAGAACAAGTAGTAGCAGTTTATTAATTCAAACATGGGAGTCAGATGGCATCTTACACTTATTTCCTAGATTCCCAGCAGTAGTCTGCGTTATGTTTAGAAACCACAGAAGCAAAGTTTTCCTTTACAAGGTAGTCATTTTACAGTTCATCCCATGAAGAACTCTGTATAAAAGGGGAAGAAAGATAGTATTTACATTCGTGTTTATTTTCTGCATAGGTGAACAACACATATTTAATTTTATCTCTCATTTTCACCATGGGAATCATGAACTTGCAAAATGAAAAGGATGTTAGGATAATTTTGTGTATATTCAAAGAAATTAAGAAACCAACCCATAAATACTTAGTGACAGAGCTGGGATTAGAACCTTGCTTTCCTGATTCCCAACCCTTTGGTATTTTATCATGCTGTGAAAAATAATTGATAACTGGTATAGGTAGTATGCTTCAATATATGTATTTGCATTTTTTTTCATTTTTTTAGAACTGGGAATAAAACTGAATTATTCAAAGACCTTACTGGCTTCCCTTTAATAAAAAAGAGGAAGGATGAAATTCAAGAAGCTACTGACAAGATCCAAATACATTTACAAGAAATACGAAAAATACTAAAAAATCCTTCTGTACAATATGTAACAGTGTCAGGACAGGAGGTAATGTCAACATACTTTTATTTTGCATTTGTTTATCTCAAGTAGAAAAGCTATTTTAAAATGTAAACAAAAATCCGGGGGGTGGGGGGATGGGTTAGCCTGGTGATGGGTATTGAGGAGGGCACGTTCTGCATGGAGCACTGGGTGTTATGAACAAACAATGAATCATGGAACACTGCATCAAAAACTAATGATGTAATATATGGTGATTAACATAACAATAAAAAAATTTAAAAAAATGTAAACAAAAATCCAAGGATAGGATGAATGTTTGTTTTCAGATTTTCTCTTTTGTTCCTTGGAAATATGATGTAATACTTTGTGTTGGTAAGAATTATTTTAGGAACAGTTTTTTGTGTGTTTATTTACTTTACTCTCTTGGTAAAATAATGCAACTTAATGTTACATGTGTTTTAATATTATTTGTTGAAATTATATTATGGAAAATGTGACTCTTGTTAATAATAACTTATAGGATTCATTTACCCTAAATCCAGGAGAGAAAAGTTAGTCTTTTATCTCTGGCCAGCAGATAATGAAATGATAGAAGTGAACCACCTGTGTTGGTTGGGTCACACAGTGATTAAAAGGCAGGGTTTCCTTCTGAAGTTAGTAGTATAGCTGCTAGAGAACAAAAAGCAAGAAAAAAAAAAAACCAAAAAAACAAAACTGTAGCAAAAACCTACAATTAGTGAGTCCATGAGCTGATGTAAGTGCTGTTCAGAATGTGTTTTTTGGTATGCATACTTCAAAGTTTGATATTATTAATATCTGGGTGAGAATCAGGAAGGAGTATGCTCTTTAAATGTGGTTGTATCCCTTGGTCTTAGATATTCTGAGTGTTGAGGCATGCTACTTCTATATCTTATGTTTAATAAAATATAGAGAGCCTGGGCACCTGGGTGGCTCAGTTAGTTAAACGACTGCCTTCGGCTCAGGTCATGATCCTGGAGTCCCGGGATCGAGTCCCGCATTGGGCTCCCTGCTCAGCGGAGAGTCTGCTTCTCCCTCTGACCCTCCCCCCTCTCATGTGCTCTCTCTCTCTCTCATTCTCACTCTCTCAAATAAATAAATAAATAAAATCTAAAAAAAAAAATAAAATATAGAGAGCCTAACTGAGGGAATTTGAGGAATTCTACTTCGTTAAAATAGCAAATTAGGAGATTTGTGAATAATTTTCATAGGATGGATGAACATTTTATTCAGGATTTTAAAAAGCAGATATTTTTCTAGTGGGGAAGAGCTTAATTTCAAATAAAATTTTTAAACATTTGTATTACTTTATATATTTAGTCCAAAGACTGCTGATTTCTATAATTATTTGAAATAAGAAACCCTACAGATTATAATCTTTATTAAAATATTTATTTATTTATTTAAAAAACTTATTTATTTATTTATTTGACAGAGAGACAGACACACAGCAAGAGAAGGAACACAAGCAGGGGGAGTGGGAGAGGGAGAAGCAGGCTTCCTGCCGAGCAGGGAGCCCGATGTGGGGCTTGATCCCAGGACCCTGGGACCATGACCTGAGCCGAAGGCAGATGCTTAACGACTGAGCCACCCAGGGGCCCCTATTAAAATATTTATTAATCTTGTGCCATGTAATAGACCATTGATTAAGTCAGTCTATCTTTTGGATTCAAATCTTTTGGCCTCAGGCAGATGTTTCACAGTGTATTCCACCTAGAAGTCTATATAACAGAAAAATAATGTGACAATATTTATACTTAGTGCCCCCCCCACCCTCCAGCCAAATATTTAATTGCATCAGTTCGTTTCACTATGCAGTCAGGACCTTGCAAACCAAACAAGTGACCTTAGTGCCAGTATCTGGGCTATTTGTTGAAAATGAGATGATCAAAACTGCTTAATAACATTAATAAAAGATATGTAGTAGAAAGGCAGTTACCTGTTATGACAGTAGGAAAAAGCTGGGTGTGAAGTGCCACTTCCCCCTTCATGCTATGTGACCAAGGCAGAATCACCTGTGTCGTGAGACTACTCCAAAGACCAATTGAGTTAAAATACATGAAAGTGCTTTTTAATCATACATTAAGCCCTATGTAAATGTTATTCATATACTACTACTACTAATATAGTTACCATTTGTCAAGCACTTGATCAGAATGATGCTAAGCGCTGTATGTTTATTATTTAACATTTGTAATAACACAGATTTTAAGGGGTTATTCCCATTTTGTAGTGAAGAAAACTGAGGGTTGGAATAGTTAGGTAAGTTACCTAAATCAGAAGCCCAGTCCTGCCTGACTCCAGTCTTTCGACCAGTTCCTTATTTCACTCTACTTACAAATATTAACACAAGGATTATTAACATCTTGGGTTTTATTTTATGAAACCCAGACATTTTTAGAGCTCATACTATGCAAACTGAAATAAAGCTTAAGTCTTGGGAAGACAGTCCTGGATCCAGCTGGTAGTTTTACAGTAAAAATGGGGAAAACTGATCAGGAATTCATAAGGGATAGTAGAGTAGTTTTTTTTTTTTCTTTTTTAAATCAGTGTGGCAGTGAAGTTCAAGAAAGAGCACAGTATGGAGATGAAATAATTGGGTTACAACTAATTAGGGAGGTAAATTATCTTATTCTTTATTTAACCTTTATTAGGTTAAGCTGATGAGGTTGAGGCAAGAAATTTCTTAGTTATTAACTGTGGGATGAATTCTTACCGGTTTTTAAAAACCTATAGAAATTGAATAGTATATCGATTCAGAATCACTTTTACAACATTTTTTTGAGAACTAGTGATTCTATTCAAACAACAAATGAATTCTAGATATTCAGCATTGTTATAGTCAAATTCTCTTCTAAAAAATTATACTAATGGTATCAGCAAATTATTTAAAGATACAGTATCAAGAACAGACTCCATCAAATATGATTACCTCTGAGAAATGAGAGAGGAAGGCAGGAAAACCCTTACTTTGTGTGTGCTTCTTATTTTATACCCTTCTGTTTTTATTACTTTGTAATAATTTTTTAAAAACCTGTTTTAGCAGCCCCATGTAGTACATGGATTTTGTTATTGGGAAAAATAAGTAGATTGTCAAGCCAGTGATACTTTTGACAACTTTCCTTTTTCACCTCTGTTCTCAGTTTTTATGTACTCATTAGAATACTATAAGCCTTATTGACTATATTATCTCTGACTCCGAAAGTATTTGTAAGAAAGTAATGAAAGCAGAAACTTAGCCCACTGCTTCTGTGATAGTTTTTCTCATATTTTGTGTATATAATCATCTTTTAATTGAATCAAATATGGAGTGGATATAGGGTGATATTTAGATTTAGGGCAGTATTGGTAAGTAGTAGTATTCTTAAGGAAAAGGGAAGAAATATTGGGGGAAAATCTTTAGAAAAAATTTTTATTAATTCACAGCATGCAGCATATCCGAATTCTGCTTAGTGTGTTTAAGATGTGAAAAGCATTCTCTGTGACATCTTACTTCTAAAGAAAAAATACTTGAGAATTCTTGAGAGAGAAGAAAGAAAAGAGGGAGAGTAGGAATGGGTTAAGTGTGGTATTGGAGAAAACAGAGAGCGGTTTCTGGAGTGAAGGTTTAGCAAACTTAGCAACGATGCAAGCCCAGTGCTATGACAGCCTGTAGTTTGAGTAACAATATCTGACGTTTAACCAGGACAGAATTGGATCCCAGGAGTATGTGAGAAATTACTAGAACAAATCAAGGCATCCGTCTTGCATCAACACCTAAGAAACAAAGTCAGGAACTGTAGAGTAGGGAAAGGTGCTTGTGAGAATTTTCTAAGGTTTCTGAAATACATGTTAATTTCCAGTTTTAGTTTCCTTTTCTGTAGCAATAAAATTTTTTAAAGGCCTTGTCTGCTCATTCTTAGAATGTTTGTGAAAAGAAGCAGAGAGAAAATTTCCTATTTGTTAGGCAGTGTAGAAGAGAAAAAAAACCCACTGGTGGATGACAATTCTCAAGAGAGACCCCAGCTGAGAAGAGGACCCGCAGGACCAGCACGAAGTCGAAGAAGTAACCCCCGGGGTGTAACGAGCCAGAGGTCCGTGTGGGCCTTCCCAACTCTCACCCTCTTTCCCATCGAGTATTGGCTCTGCATATGGCTTGTTTGAGGAGCTGTGGTCCTTAGAGTAGACGCTTGATACTTACAGATTGAACCATTACGGTCCAAACTGTTGCCAGCCCGCTCTAAAGGGCCATGCTTAGAATCGATCTGTGACGTGTATAAGGTACAAATTTGAATCCAGTGCCCCGTGCTGCAGTGTTATGGCACGTTACTTAAGTAAGCCAGCCTATCTGGCTGCCCACTGATCTCACTGAGGCAGTTTTAGCTGCTTTTTCAAAATTTCCACCTTCCCTTACACGGTAACTTTTGTGGAGCTCTGTGTTTTTATGGATCTAGATGTGTCCTTTCCAAGTATTAGTGAGCCGCTGTGGCCCTGAATTTTGCTGTTTGCTGCAGGCATAGCTCTTCTCAGAATTATTTTATAAAAAGATCAATATGCTTTACTTGTAGGACATTTATGAATAATATGTAAGCAGAATTTTTTAGCATGGTCCTAATGTGCTTTTCTTTCTCGTCAATGATATTTATTTTGTGGGTTTTTTTCCTCAGTTACTCTTTGTAGCCGAAGGGAACTTTTTTAGACTTTCGACTCTTCACTGTTTAACTGGGTGTAGCAGATTTGAAATTGTATTAATTTCTGTCTGTCTAGGAAGACATCCTTAGTCACAAAATTCTTAAAATTAACAAATAATATCTGTATTATAATTAATGTAAAAACTATATAGAAAAATAAACTCAAAGATAGGCCAGTATTATTAATAATATGCATATTATAAATGCCAGAAATGTTATAAAACGTATATGTAAAAAAGTTCCTGTGCCATCTCAAAATTAGTGGTAGCCACAGAGCTTCTGGGTTTCCTCCTGTATAAAATAAGTGTTTGTGTGTATTCATTTAAATAAAACACTGAATTTTATTACAGTAATACAGGAGAGTGAGCGGAGGAAGAGATGATACACAACTAATGCTGAAAAGGAAAGGCATGATAGAAGAAGTTTATTTCACTTGCTTCCTGATTGATTTCAGAAAAGCTTGCTTGCAGAACACAGCGCTATAAAGATATGGTTCCTATGAGTGAAAACTTAAAACACTCATGGGAAGAAATCTCTTCTTCCCTTAATAGCTGAAGAAATCAGTGCTTTTTCATGAGGATATTCTTAGAGCACTTGGGCTCTTTGGATAAAAACTATGACAATAAATCCTCTTCTGTTCAGAATAGGGGATGGACCATGTCTGAAACTGGTATAGCACATCGTAATTGATATTTTAAAATTGTATGTACTTTGTAAGAACTTCAGTCTTATTACTGAGTATAATAGAATTCTTAATTGGTACTAATAAATGAAAGAGGCCATTAAAAAAAGAAAAATCACCACACGTAGTGCACATGACAATGTTATAAACATTAAAGTGCCGAGGTACATGCTTATTACAAACTTTTGATCAATACATATTGTACTTTATCCCAAGTATGGCAACCCTAATTAATGATATTCGGTTGTATGGACATATTTGAACTTTCCTCTTCACAATACTGGATTTATTTTGAATGTTTAGAATAGTATTTACTAAATTTATAGCACAATTTTGAGGAAGCTTTAATAATGGTTAATCATTTAAATATCTAATTTTTATTTGTATTTCTTTTAGTTTATGATTGAAGTAAAGAATTCTGCTGTATCTTGTATACCAACTGATTGGGTTAAGGTTGGAAGGTGGGTTTAAAATTACATTTTTTTCTTATTAATGTGAATTATGACATGTGTATACCTGTATACTACTGGAATGAAGATAACCACATCCTTGACATAAAAAGTAATTCTTTCCCTTTGGTTTTCTTGTGGAACTTTTAACCAAAGAAATAATTATTTTAAATTCTTTTTTATCATTGATTTAAAAATATTTTTTCCAAAGAGTATCTTACTTGTATACATTTGTTTTCCTGTTTTGTAAATTACCATTTTATTCTTACACCTCAGAGTATATGCTAAACACATGAAAAAAAATATTGGGTTATCTTCAGTAATAAGATTAATTTGATTGCTTGAAATTCCTGATGAGTGGTATACCTGAAATTTCTTTTAGGAAGCTGAAATTTCATTTTCTACCTCACTGAGCTCTGCATTTCTTTATTCTTGATGCTTTACAGTGCACATAATTACAACAGTTCTTTATGGCTTCTTTTTTGTAAGTTATTCATGAATTGATGAAAACAAATTAATCAAAAACAGAATTAGAGAACCACATTGAGACTGCCTTTTCTCCTTGATTAGGCATTAATCCCCCAAAGGGGACTCATATAAAGAAGTGGTATTAGTGAAGTATATACTCCTGTGAGTAATATTCTTTGTGAAGTATTTATTGCTTCTGTTATTAATACGCTTGCATGAACTTGAGATGAAAATGTTAACATTTGCCTAAGTGAGCAGAAGAGGGACTAGTATAGTAGCTGGTGTTTATATGAAGGAACTCCGTTAAGGATAAAAGAAAATTTTAACATCTGTGAATGATTATTATTTAATTAAAAGAAAAAAACTAGTATCCATTGCCATTATCAAAGGATTCTGAATGCACAGTCATCGGTTTCTTTAGCTCTGTTACCATTGTTTTGTTTGGTTTGTTTTTTCTCCTGTGTTACTAGAAGCTGTAGGTGAGATTTGAGTATTGTTGATTTTAGGGGCTGTTTTCTCTCTTCACGAGCTTTCTTTCCATTATCTACTTTTGTCCTACCCTACAGCTCATGAATTGAAATATGTTTTACGAAGAGAAATTATTGAAAATTGTATATCTAATTCTCTAAGAAATTGAAATGTTTCACTAAATGAATTTTATCACAAGAGAAAGCTATGATAAATATGTTGGCCTAGAAATCTACATGACATTTCAGAAGCAACACGGAAGGCATAAATCAGTGCCAGCATCTTTTGAACATTCAATGATGTAAATTGAATGAATAAATAAGATGGCTTTGGGGAGGTTCACTGTTATTTTTATATGTCGTTTGACTACTGGGACCTTGACAGGGATAGGTTAGAATATTAGTCAGAATTTGAATATGAAAGGCGCACCCCTGGTCCAATAACTGGCCAAATTAAACCTAATTGTGACAGGAGTTGGGGAGCAAACAAAGAACAGTAATTACACTCTGTCATCACCTGTGTATCACTCAGTCCTGATCTTCTCTTCTCATAGGTGCAATCATAATAGTAACATCAACAGCAGTAGCAATCACCACCTCCACAGAACAACTCCTAACATTGGGTACTAATGACATAGGACATAGGTACTGTGCTAATCACTATCTTATCCTCTCAACAGTACCTATGATGTAGATACTATCATTATTCCCATTTTATAGATGAGGAAAGGAATGTTTAGAGAAGGTCACTTATATTTGCCTAAGGTTACATAGGTAGCAAGTCAGTGGTTAGAGATAAAGCCTTGGCCCAGATTTTTTAACTGGGAACCCATGGCATCCCCTTTTGTGCTCTACAGCTTCTCGATGAAGAAACAGATGATACACAAGCCCACAAGAGGAGCATGTCATATTTCTTCCCATCTGGGGCCACTGTGAATCTACAGTTAGATCATGAAACATTCCTCTTCTTTGACTGCCTCCTGAATTAATGCATTGCTATCCTTTGTAATTCTTTATATTTTTCTTTTTTCACTGAAATACATTAATTATACAGAAAAGTATCAAACATAAAGAATAATAGGACTTTCATCCATGTATCCAGCTTTGTCAGGACTTACTTGCTTCTGATCTTTTAGTAAGCAAGCATTTTCATTTAGTGTAATTTAAAGAAAAAGCTTTCTGCTTATGAAATGGAAATTCTAAACTTTGACTTTGCCATATGGATATAATTTAAAATGCATTTTAGAGCTTGTGAACAAAGTCCTGTGAACTCCAAGTACTTTATTTACAACAGAGATCTTTGGAATCAATAGAGTTCAGCACCATAATTAAAAGAATGTTCTCTGTTTACAGATATTTACTTTCAAGGTTCATCAGAGAACAATAAATAACTACGTTAATTTTCTGAAGTGATGGCATTAGTGATTTCTTAGTAACCTTGATTTCCTATTTATGTTTCTTTCCCTCTTCTAGCACAAAAGCTGTGAGCCGTTTTCACTCTCCTTTTATTGTAGAAAATTACAGACATCTGAATCAGCTCCGGGAGCAGCTAGTCCTTGACTGCAGTGCTGAATGGCTTGATTTTCTAGAGTGAGTTTACAATGAAAAATATAATCTGACTTTTTGCTATGAGAAATAGACCGGAAAATCTTTCCATCAAAAAGAAAAGTAGAGATTACTGCTTGTGACCTGCCATAAAATAGTTGAGTACATGTGTTCTCTGATTTTATTTTTAATCCATTGAAATGTAAGCTCATCTTAGTCTTTAACGAGAGACCTAAATATACTTTATTGTTACTGTACTAATATTTAGTTGCTAAGGATGTTTGGTAGAGTCCCTTTTTGAAATGCCACCTTGGACTTCCTTTACTTTTCTTATAAAAAGGCTCTAACGTTTTCAGAGTTGGAAAAGAATGGGTTAGTTGCTTTGTTTTTATTATCTCCATTTAATTTTTTTCTTATTTTTTTACATCCTGAATATTTTCTTCCTAACTTTTTATTTTAAAGAATTTTAAATCTGGGAAATTTGAAATAAATACCAATATACTCTTCATCTAGATTTATCAGGTGTTAACATTTCGCCACATTTGTTTTATCTCTCTCATATACTTTTTTCCTGAACCTTTTGAAAGTACGATTTAGACATTATAACACTTCACCCCTAAATACTTAATTAAGCATACATCTAAAACTAAGGACATTCTACTATATAATCTTAAGGCCATTATCACATCTAAGAAAAACTATTAATTTAAGGAATATTGAGTTTCTCTAATTCTGCCCCCTCATTTTTAAATGAAAGCTCTATTCAGCTTTCACATGTTACATTTTGTTATGTTTCTTTTGTAGTTGAATCTAGAATAGTCCCTCACCTTTTTGGTTTCTTTTTTTTTTTAAGATTTTATTTATTTGAGAGAGAGAGAGGGAGCATGAGCAGGGGGAGGTGCAGAGGGAGAAGCAGACTCCACATTGAGCAGGGAGCCTGACAGGGGACTCGATCCCAGGACTCTGGGATCATGAATTGAGCTGAAGGCAGACATTTAACTAACTGAGCCACCCAGGCACTCCACCTTTTTTGCTTTTTTATGAGTTTTTTTTTTTTTTTTGAAGAATCCTTGCCATTGCCTCAAAGAATGTTTCATATCTGGACTTATTAATAGTTATATGTTCATATTGACAGGTTTAAGTCAGTGGTGTACTGGTAAATAAGACATTAACAGCCAGTTCTTTGGAAGAATAGTAGTGTCTGTGGCATTTGCTGGTTTCTATAGTGTAAATACTCCTGTGGTTGATTTCAAGCTATTGCTGGACTGAAGTTGGGAAGAGAGGTGTACAGTTGACTTTCATGAGTCCTTAGCTATGAGCCATTCATCTAAGCCCTTTAGGTATATTAGGTCATTATTTCTCACAAGATCTTTGTGACTGAAATATTATCACCCCCAATTGACAAATGAATAAATTGAGATGCAGAAATAAGAAGTAAGTTGCCTACATTGGGTTGGAGCCAAGGTTCAATGCAGGGTGCACAAAGATATTAAGTAACAGTTCTTAAAAGGTAGTTGGTACCATTTTTTTGCCCAGAGGAGTCTTGAATTAGAGCATTAGAAACACATTCTAATTTACTTATCCTGAATCTTCTGAGGTTATCTTAACTCAGAATCTTGGACCCAGGGATAGAAACTTGGTATATTCATTTCCTTTTCCAATTTGCTTTCGCTTTCCCATTTTAAGGGTCTTTAGGGCCCTTGAGTCTCAAGTTCTCCTGGTTTTCCCCTTAGAAATACCACTGAGAGGCGCCTGGCTGGCTCAGTTGGTAGAGCGTGCGACTCTTGATCTTGAGGTTGTGAGTTTGAGCCCCATGCTGGATGCAGAGATTACTTAAAAAAAAAAAAAAAGTATCACTGAGACATGAAAATTGGATGAAAATTAGTTCTTTCAAGCTTCAAGGGCCACATTCTAGGGTCCTGGGATTTGATGACATGATACATATTTGCTCTGTTCATAGTATACAAGATTTTACAGATCTGGTTTATGTAGTCATTGTCATTATTCTAGACTAAAGATAAAGTTCAGATCTCTCAGGCCGAAAACTTTGGCATTGTCCCTGATTCTTTCTTCTTTTTGTCCCTTTATCTTTTATCAAATTCCTGTTTGTCTTTTCCCCTTGAAATGTATCTTTGATTTGTCCCTTCTCTGTTCTGTTCTAGCACCCCATTATTTCTGTGTATCATTCTTCCTGTATCAGCTCTTTGCCTTCTACCAAATTAACACAGGAGAATTCAGCTTTCATCTTACTACCTCTTTGAGTGAGGTGACATTAAATACAACATCACCAAAGAATATGATACTCATGTTGTATTGCTAAGTGAAAAAAGAATGCAAAACAGTATTGAAGGGATGATGCAGTTCTGTGTAAATTCACATACATGCACAGCATACAGATCTTTTTATCTGGTTTTAAAAGATTATTAGAGAGAGAGCATGCATGCATGCATGCGCAAGTGGGGGAGGGGCAGAGGGAGAGAATCCCCAAGCAGACTCCCCACAGAGTGTGGAGCCCTGTTTGGAGCTTGATCTCATGACTCATGAGATCATGACTTGAGCCGAAACCAAGAGTTGGATGCTCAACCTAGTAAGCCACGCAGGGTGCCCCTAAATCTTTTTATCTTAAAAGATTAAATGTATATATTCCATTATTGTATTATCAGTATGCTTATTGGTCATTTGTATATCTTTTCTGGAAAAATGTCTTCGTATATATATCCTCAAATATTAACTGATTATTTCTGGATGGTGAGATTACTGGAGATTTTAATTTACTTTGCAAATACATGATATCAAAAGTGTCTTTAATGTACTTACATTAATTTCAAAATAAGAAAAATATATTAATGGTTTTATCTAAAAAAATAATATTGGCTGAATTTTTGCTAGAGCTTTTGCAGCTAGAGCCCCCACTTGAGAACAACATTGACTGTAATGTACAATATTTATTAAGGTGCCAGATGGTATGAATATGATGTCATTTTAAAAAATGATTAACCTCAGTGAACCTGACATCAGAGGATTGAATACCAGCTATACACATGTATTTGTCTCTTATTGAGATACTGACCCATTATACATTAGTCATACTACTTTTGACCAAAATATTGCAAGAAATCAAGGCTGTAAGAAACTCTAAATGGAATTTTCTTTGAAAAAAATGTGTCTCTTCATCTGTATTCCTAGAAGATGGGCTGTGGATGTTGAATAATCTTCTCGATTGGAGATTTTTTAAAAATTGAATTATAATGTCTCTTGTGCAGTAAGTTAAATATTTTAGAAATAAATTTGCAAATAAAAAATGAAATATTTTCCTTTTTTGTTGATTTTACATATCATTGGGCAACATCTGATGGTAGACTGTCCTAACAGCTTTAGAACCCAAGTACCTTAATCTTTATTTTTCCTATGGATGTGGCAATATCTTTTGACCAGAGATTAAATCATAGTACTTTGGCTTCATCTTTAAGTTGGTTGGTGGCTTAGTGATAAAGTTGCCTGTTGTGATATAAACCCAGTCTTATCAGATTGTTATTTGAATTGCCCATTTTTTAGCTTGTTATTTTTCTAGGTATGGATAATCTTTTTGAAATTTGGGAAAGTGTAGCAAATGGACAAAGATCAAGAAGTCAAACAAGACTTCCTAGGTTATGATGATGATGTTAAAGATTTATGATAGTGTTTCATTTTATTCACACATCTTATTTATATAATTGACATGAGAAAGAACATTATTGTCTATATCAAAATAATTACCTTATCTCTCTCTGCCTTTTCTTTTTTCTTATTTTTTTAACCAAAATGGTACCCACTGAGAGCTGTGTCACTCATTTCAATCCCAGACACTAGAATATCATGAGGGACAGTTACCCTCAACCTAAGGCTCCTAGATAGTAGCAAATTAATTAGGGTCTTGGTGGCCTGGACAAGAGCTGAGAAGCAGGGAGTGAGAGTGAAGAAAAAATGAGAGTTATTTAGTGCCAAAGACACTTTGATACTCATATTCCAGAGAGGCAAGAGGAGAGACATCAAATTTGGCCACTCTGAGAAAACAGAGTGCCAGGATTGGAAGGACCAGATGGGTCAGTAATTAGAACAGGGACAGAAAGCAACACAGTCCAACAGATAAGCCAGTGGTCAGATGTAAAATTGAAGTCAGACCAGGAATGACAAGGCATCATCACTGGGCAGTCACTCAGAAGTGTTAGGTCCATGTAGCATGTGGTATCTTCAAAATGGAGTGAGTCATTTTTAAGGTGGCACCTGAGCATTGTCTGTCTGATGCCAGTCTCCTTTGTGTTTGGGATTTTGCACAGACTCTTACCACTGTTAGTGGGATTCTTGCTTGTTTTGATGAACCTTAATTCAGTGAGAAATAAGTAAATTATATTTATTATGTTCTATCTATTCAGATAAAAAGGTATAAAATATACTATAAATATATTTTCCAATTCATAACGTTAACACAAAAATGAAAATAAGTACTTAAAATGTTGCTTCTGTTATCTGGAAGAATCATTTGCATGGAATACCTTATAATATTACTAGAAAAATCATATTACAGATTCTAAAAAATCAAGATAGTGATAATATAGGAATAACTGATCACATAATAGCTTAGTTTGGATATCCTTTTCAAGCTAGGAAGCATTCTAAAACTTTTGAATTTAAGAAGCAGATTAAATCTCAAAGTTTCTGAAACCCATAATACAACAGAGAAATCATTTTTTTTTAAGATTTTATTTATTTATTTGACAGAGAGAGAGAGAGTGAGAGCAGGAACACAAGCAGGGGGAGTGGGAGAGGGAGAAGCAGGCTTCCTGCCAAGCAGGAAGCCCGATGTGGGACTCGATCCCAGGACCCTGGGATCATGACCTGAGCTGAAGGCAGACGCTTAACGACTGAGCCACCCAGGCGCCCAGAGAGAAATCATTTTTAAGAGAAGAATTCAGCCTAGTATTCTATTTTGGTGGGAATCTTCTTTGAAAGGATGTAAGGGATACCTGTGATATGAAATAATGGAATAATTTGGGGCTCCTGGGTGGCACAGTTGGTTGGGTGTCTGACTGTTGGTTTCGGCTCAGGTCATGATCTCAGGGTCATGAGATCTGTGTCAGGCTCCGTGCTCAGCGGGGAGTCTGCTTGAGATTCTCTCTCTCCCTGCCCCTTCTGCTTATGCTCTCACGCTCTCAAAAATAAATAAATCTAAAAAATAAAGGAAATAATGGAACAATTTAAATAATAAAAAAGGAAAGCACTTACCTACATTCCTATATTTTTTCTGAATAAGTCTTTCAATAAAAGTCTTTTAAGCCTTTAGATCACAAGCGATTTAATTAGCCAAAGATTTGAGGCACTGATGATTATCTTTTTAAAATTAATCTAAAATTTAATTTATATATGTATTATTAATAAGATAACTGAAGATCACTGGAAAAAAATACTTTATTTGCTTGCTTTTAATGAAATTTATTACAATGTCTACTGCATATCGAAGTTATGGGCTAGATGTTAGAGCTAATAATGATAGGAAAATCAGATGAACATGGATGGACCCTACCGTTGAGAACCTTCCAGTTCAGTGTGAGAGAAAGATACTGAAACTATTAATCCTAGTTTGGATGATGCTATGAAGGAGAAGCACAAAGACAAGCTGACCCATCCGGGTAGTTCATGTTAACTTAAGCTGAATGAAAATGATCACTATATTTGTGTTAATTATGTTAAAGTTGACATGTCATGGTCAAATGAAATGTGCAATACAGTATTAATAGTAGACATCTTTATATAGAAGCTATTTTAAATATATGTAATTCTATCCACATGAAACAAAAGAAGCCTCAGTAATCAAGTTATATGAAACTGAGAAGTCGTCCAGAGTAATTTCCATGTTTCTTAACTGTTAGGTATCTCTGGTTATTTTATGCTCATCTTAGCTAATAAAGCGATTACGTGTTTTGCAGCTTTTACAGATCTAAGAAATCAATGTGTTCACCTTTTTGTTGTTGCTTCTGTAGGAATTTCAGTGAACATTATCACTCCTTGTGTAAAGCAGTACATCACCTAGCAACTGTTGACTGCATTTTCTCCCTAGCCAAGGTCGCTAAGCAAGGAGATTACTGCAGGTAATGTATTTTTTAACTCCCCCCTCCTTTTCAGTGCTTTAGATCAGATGGCATTATCCCATTACTTCTAGTATTTTTATTATAAAATATTAAAATATGCAGATATGTTGGATTCTTGGTAAAGCTGAATGTCATACACACATAGCTTGATTTAAAATTAACAGATTCCTAGGGGAAGCCTGAGTGGTTCAGTCAGTTAAAATTAACAAATTCCTTTCTTACTTGCTCTGTCTTTGAGTACAATAAAAGCAGATGTTCACAGTAACTCTAGAGGTGAATGTTATATGTTTCAATTTTTAAGTTTATGTGGGTGACATTTTTTTAAAGCCATAATCCTTTCATTTGTTAGCTTTGACTTGAACACTTTGTAATATATTTCACTTTATAATTATAAGTCTCATATAAATGCCAACTAAATCAGATATGGATGAGACTGAATGTGTCATCCATTTCGAGACAGTGTCTCTATTGCTATCAAATTGCTCTTCATTAAGTCTAAAACCTTAGGCTTGAGCCAAATCTTTGGCTCATTTCTCTGCTTTCCAGGCCCACTGGGTGGGGATTCCCACCTTCCAGACCCACTAGGGCAGCAGTCCTGTTCCCGTAGCTTTGCGGGGCCAAGGTTGGGCCTCCAGAGCTCTAGGCTATATTGCTCCTTTGGTGGTCCTGTGCCTGGGCCCCACCCCTGAGGTGGTTCTTTCTTGTAGTCCCATGTCTGCTGATGCCCTGTGCCTGGTCTGCTGATGTTCTGTGCCTGGTCTGCTTTCTGGTAGTCCCACATCTGCTGATGCTGATGCCCTGTGGCTCTCCCAGGCTGGAATTTTGTACTGGTGGCTCTGTGGGTCTGGAGAGCTTTGCCCAATTGGGGTCTGGCTCTCTGTGGGCTCTTTTATAAAACCACTAGCACATTCACGAGGGCTCTGCCCTTATGAACTAATCACTTTCCAAGGGCCTTACCCCCAATACCATCACATTAGGTTTCATATGAATTTGAGAGAGGACACAAACATTCACTCTATAGCACAAAGCCTATTTTTTCATATACTTAAGGAAATTTAAGGGAATATTTAACTCACTGGCTTATTATGAGGTCTAAAAGGAAAACATGGAAGTGATACTGCCTATCAGTGCTTTGGTATACAGAGTTTGTTATGTTTGAGAGGATATCTTCTGCTGTTCATACTTCTTTCATGTTCTCTCTAGTTTGTGCCGAATATTTTTTTTTTAATATTTAAATGTTCTCTTTATAACTAGCATAATACCTATAGTGGATGTTAAAAAATAGTTTATTGTAAAGCATTTATTTATTTATTGGAGAAGAGTTGCAGGAATTGGCTACCCCAGTTTCAGATAAAAATGTACATAGTTTTGCTGTTTTGTTTCATTTTGTTTTGCTACCCATTTATGTATGGAGTGATCTACTATGCTGTGCACAACGGTTTTGTTTAAAATAGGCTCTTTACAGGCGCCTGGGTGGCTCAGTCGTTAAGCGTCTGCCTTCAGCTCAGGTCATGGTCCCAGGGTCCTGGGATGGAGCCCCACATCAGACTCCCTGCTTGGCGGGAAGCCTGCTTGCTTCTCCCTCCCCCACTCCCTCTGCTTGTGTTCCCTCTCTCACTGTGTGTCTCTCTCTGTCAAATAAATAAAAAAATAAAATAAAATAGGCTCTTTGCATTTTTATTGTTACTCAGTTTCTTTTCACATCAGAGGGCTTTGAAAATTTTGTGCAATTTATCATTCATGAAAATGAGATCTGTAAATGAACTCTAGTTGAATCCAATTCTGGGAGAATAAGAGTCTATCTTCCGTTGACTTGATTTCTTCCTTATGTACTGTGATCTTAGTAGGACTTCTTTCTTGGTGCACAAGGTTTGTGAAGCTAATTTTTCCTAATGGATTTGTGAATTAAGCAGAGGATCAGCTACAGTCTGCACTTGATGTTTTCACACAAAGCTCTTTCCATTGAAAAATACTGATGCCTGGTTTCTTTCTTCCTGCACTTCTTCAAGTGGCCTTTTGCCATTTGCTGCTGCAGCAGCTGGTAAGAACAGAAGAACCATGTCTGTGGGCTTGTGGTTTATATTACATCAGATTTAAGTTTTCATATCTGTATGTGCATATATACCTATTTGTAAGCCTAAACGTACATATATATTACACATAATATGTAATTTAAAGTAATACATAATTTTCAAGGTGTTATAATAACCAGAATCTAGCTTTGATATCAGAAGGTCTGGTTCTAGCCCATCCTCTGTCACTAATTAGCTGTGTACTCTTGTTTAAATCTCAAGTATTCATGTATAAAATTGTAAGAAGTAAAGTTATGAATTAGTAAATGGGATAAATCTTACAATTGTAGGTATTCTTTATTGAGAGCTAGTTTTGGCAAAATCTCTGAGGAGTGAAAATGCATCCCTTATTACGTCACTATAAAACTATGATTACTTTGTAGACTCATCAGAGATTTAACAAACATTTTGAGTATCTACAATATTCTAGTTTGGTCCTGAATTTTTCATTTTGGGACTTCTGCTTATTTGGGCATTTTCCAGTACATTTACTAAGAGACCCCTTGATTTGCAAGTAAAATTTGAACTGTTTTTTAGTCATATCCTTCGGAGTGTAGACTTTGGATCAGACAGGCTAGGCTTGGTTATTTGGCAGCTGACCTTAAGCAAGTTACTTAACCTCTCTGATCCTCAGTTTCTGCATTAACAGAGTACCTACCTCTCAGAGTTCTTGTACAAATTAAATGAGATAAAGCTATATTAAACTTCTAAGCAGAACCAGACAGATAAGAACTTAGTAAATAGCAGATAATATTATTCAAAGATATTTATTCAAAAATCAGGAAGAATTAAGTAAAAAAAAGAAGTATTTTAAAAATTATTTGTCTTTTTTTTAAGATTTTATTTATTTATTTGAGAGAGAGAGAGATAGCACGAGAGAGAGGAGGATCAGAGGGAGAAGCAGACTCCCTGCTGAGCAGGGAGCCCAATGCGGGACTCGATCCCGGGACTCCAGGATCATGACCTGAGCCAAAGGCAGTCGCTTAACCAACTGAGCCACCCAGGCGCCCAAAAATTATTTGTCTTTAATAGAAATATCTAAACTTAAGGGTTGTTAGAATCTTTCATACCCATAATTTATTCTTTAAAAATCATTTTTAGTTCTCTGCCAGTTCTCAATCTTATCTCTTTGAACATGGTAAGCATCGTTATCTTAAAGTCTGTGTCTCATAATTCAAATATCTGGAGTTCTTGTGGGTCTGTTTCTATTGATTGTTGTTTTTGTTCATTTCCATTCTTAGATCTTTTTGAATTCCTGGTTGTTTTGATTACATTATGGGCATTGTATTTGCAGAATCATTATAGAAATAATTTGATATTATATTTCACCTGAAAGATTCACATTTGCTTCTACCAGGCATCTTAAGACCCTGATAATAATCTGGCATCACTTAATCCGTATCAGGTCTTGAGGTGACTCAAGGATTCAAAGGCTGCCATTATTACTTCAAATGTGTTTCTCTGCCTGGGGTGCAGCCCGTTGGTGTCTCAGTCCAGAGCCAAGCTGTTCATAGTGCTCACCCTTAGTGGTTCCCTTAGGGATCCACAGACACACTCCCTGGGTCTCTGTCCTGCCCCAGGTCCTAGCCAGCTAATTCCTTGCTTTCTTGTTAGTTATCAGGTACCATCAGGTAATTGTTTTCTATACTTTATCTAACTTTCCTATTTGTCCTCAGTAGGATTGTTCCAACTGATACATTCTTTCATGAAGACAACTTCAGGAAATATTTCACATGCCAAAATACTTTCCAAATTGGATACTATATGTTAAGAAAAATCCACCTGAATATTTTTAAATGAAAAATCATGCTATAAAGTTCAAGGAATATAATCACTTCTCTCTCTCTCTCTCTCTCTCTTTTTTAGCAGAAATAAAATAGAGTGTAAATAGCCATGAAATAGGAAACTTTTAACTAAAATGCATATTAAGCTAGTATTTAAGTATCTGAAAATTATACCTTTTTTTCCCTTAGATTTCCAGCTTGTTTGAAGATTTTAGTGCATTTGAGCTATTGCACTTAGTTCAAATTGATTGTTTGGATGCATAATTGCAGTCTTTTCTTCCTAAATGTTCTTAGGACATTTTATTCACTATTATAGCCTAACCTTGAGACAGAAGTTCTTGTTCTAAGTCTTTCTATCCATTTTTTATTCTGCATGTTATATTGTTTTACTAATTATGTTTCCCTGAGGCATTTAAAGGAGAAAGATACTATTTCAAAAATATAAAATAAATTTGTTCAAGTTTAATGTTTCATTCTTTCCGGGCAGCGTCTAAATTTCCTCAGCTTTTCTTAAATGCCATATCATCAACATGATTTTCGTATCCTTTTTGCTATAACTATCCTAATCTCGTGCATCATTTCATCTCTCCAAATTATGATTTGCTTCTCATTCCACCAGGAAGTGTTTTGTCATTATATAATTTTGATAGCAACAGAGTAAGTCAGTGTAGATTTTAGAGCAGAACAAATCACTCAAAATTTTATTCTAAAGTGAAAACCTTCCTGGGAAATTGTATCAGTGTCATGAATAATGATCTATTGATCTCACTTGGCAGAACACCTAGGATTTTATTTTAAAACTGATATTACTTGCAGTTGCTTTCACTTTCTATAGTAAATTTATAATGCACCTAGATAAAAATCCTGTCTTTAGAATTAAACTTTGAAATCCAAAAAAATGTCCTTTTCCTGTCATTTTAAAAGTCTCTTTCCAATGGATAATTTTAAATTACTCAGAAGATACTTTAGTTATTTTCTTTGAGAAATGTGAGTGTACATACTTGGGGTTTTGTAAGCCAGATATATTTAAGGAAAAGGATTTAAGTATTTAGGAAAGTAGTATTTCTTAGCCTGATGAATAAGGTCAGAAATGTGCTTATATGTGAAAAGTTCTGAGTCAAAGCACTTAGTTATCAATGAATGCAAGTTAACACGATTCAAGAACACTTCACCCAACACATTATCGGAAATTAGAAAATTTGATAATACCTACTTTAGGTGAAGGTATGAAAAAACCAAGTCAACTTTCATATCCTGCTGGTGGGAAGATAAACTGATACAGTATTTCTATGTGTTAAAATAAAAAGTATGTATACCCTATGACTTAGAAAGTACACTTCAGGAATTTACTCTGGCTTAAGAAACATTTGTCCCTATGCACATGGACATATATGTAAGATTGTTGATTGCGGTATTGTTTATAACAGTGAAAATCTAGACACAGTCTAAATGTTGGACAGTGGAGAACAACTGACTTATCTATGTAGCAGCTTCAAAAGAATGCTGAAGATATGACAAGAAATGATCCTGAGTCTTCAGTATAGCATACCATCAGGGTCCCTTGGACCTAATTTCAGTTTTTGAGTTTCTTAAAGGTCTTTTAAAGAACAAAGAGAAAATTCATTTTTTTTTTAAAAGGAGAATAAAATTCTGTCTTGCATTTACCATATGGGTCCATTGGACCCTTTTGTAAACCTAAGATTAAGATGCACTTTGGGATCTTTAATGATTTTTATCTTTTCTATATCTGGAACATCTTGCTATTTCATCATCCTAAGAATTAGTTTATTATTGTTTATCGATTATTTCTACTAAAAAGTCTAAATATAAGAAAACTAGAGGGTGATGATGCAAAAGTAAGATAAAAATCACTACCACACCATCCTTCATTGTTTTAATTGTATTGCCCAAAGTGCTGCATTGTCCTTCAGGAAGTTATAAAAGACTGGAAATAGCACTGTTGGAGTCTAACTACAACAGTTATTATAACTGTTATAGTTATAATTAATTTCTATTAATGTAATGATTAACTTTCACACATTGTAACTATTGTTTCTAACTTTCACTGAGCATAGTTGAGAAGTCTGAATTTTTAAATTTTTCACCCATAATAGCAAAGAGGAAAAAAGTGACAGAAGACATTTCACAATTATCAGACTAATCAAAAGATGAATGTGAAGAGAAAGATAGCAGTGCTCTGGATACTACCGATGATGATGAAATTTCTTGTATAAACAAAATCTCAGATCATAAGTGTTCAGGTGATAGTATCCTAGATGAATTTTCCCAAACTCAAGAATCAGTGTGCGAATAATGTATTTTCAAGGACAAAATGAAATGTGTTCTTCTCCAGTTAGTTAGCCCATAGGCAGCACACATCATGCAGTATTTGGTGACAAGAACCTGAACCATCCTGTTGTGCTAAAAGGATATGTAGTGGTTTCTTTTGCCTTTACGATGTTTGTGCACTAAAGTTTACTTGATACTGTTTGTAGGTGCACAGGTTCTGAAGGGAGGAGATTGAAAGAAAATAGATGATGTGAAATAAGAATATTGATTTGATCAACTGTTCTAATTTGGTATTTATAAATATAAAACTGAAAATGTTTTGCAATTGTGGAGCGAAGAAGATGGCTGTCCTCTCCTCAACATAATGATAAGCTTTTGAAGATTTCAGAATTTCAAGTATTGCATTTTTGTCCATGCAAGTGGGAGAAGAACCAGAAATTATGATAAGCTAGAACATTTTAGAAATGTATTGAAACCTAGAATTAGTATTTATGAATGACTGTGGTCCAGGTGCACGCATGATAGCTGATGAGCAGTTAATTACATTGAGAGTGTGTTGCCCATTCCAAGTATATATGCCTTTAAGACCAGGAAAATGTGGAACAAAAATTTGAGATTTGCTCTGTTTAAGTTCTTACTAAAATTTGTCATGAAGTTTTGTTTTGTTTTTACTACTCCTTTATTGCCAATTCTGCAAATTATTTGTAAAATGACTTGAAAGTATTAAGAAAAATAAAAGGGTCCATTGGTAAATTGTGAAACCTATTTCTTTTAATGTGTATTGAGTATTAAGGGGGGAAATGTAGTTATAGAATAACACATTATAGTATGATCCTGATTTGTTTTGCTGTTTTTTTAATGAAATCACAAACCAGCACAGTGAGTGTGTAAAAACCTAAATGCAGAGAAAAAAGTTGGGAAGGGTAGACACCACACTGATCTCAGTGGTAACCTCTGGGGAGGAGAATAAAAGGAGAGCAGTGCTCACAGGGGCTTTGATAAATAGATAAAGCTATAGATAAAAACAGAGAATATAAAAGCTTTAAAAGGAAAACCAGCAAGGCAAAAAAAAATAATTTTTGTATCAAGAAAAGTGAAAGATACCAAAGACCATAGGAAGATGTTTCCGTTAAACAGAATATGAAAATTTTAGGTCTCCAAGGGCAACACGTAATATAATTTCTACTAATGTAATAATTGAATCTGGAAATAATTTTCAGTGATTTCCTTTATTATGCATGTAACTGAAAATGATTTAAATGGCAATAATTTGAACTGTAACTTTTAGTAATGAAAATATTGATCTTAGAGAATAGTAGGAAAAAAAGATCTTGTAAAGTAGACTTCAGCAGTGGAGCTATTGTAAGACTCTGCTAAAGTTTGTGCTTCGAGCACTATTATTATAATGTCCTCCCAATTCTTATTTTATAGTTAAAATTTAACTTTTGTACTCAAAGCCTTATTCTGGGGGTGTGTTCTTAAAGTCTATCTTTTATGCTAGAACTTAGAGATTTTTTAAAGGCAGTTTTCATGCCTAGTAATTTGGAATATGCTTCTTTTCACAGACCAACTCTACAAGAGGGAAGGAAAATCTTGATTAAAAATGGCCGACACCCTGTGATTGACGTGTTGCTGGGAGCACAGGATCAGTATGTTCCCAACAGTACAAATTTATCAGTAAGTAACACATGATGCCAGTAAATAAGTAAAAGATGGTAACACTGATCCAAACTTTCAAATACAAAATAAGTATTTTTATAATTTACTCAGGTTTTAACTTTGGCGTTAAATGTAGTAATCTTGGGCTGTAGTTTTATATTCACCCACCAAGTATGGAGTTGGTGTCATTTCCAATGAAAGATGATTGATAAATGGAAAGATGTAGCAATGAAAGGGTTAGTCTTAATTAGTTATCCTAGGCAACCCCTGTAAATATTTTTCATTTATAAATGCCCAAATATGCTAATAGGGTGGAATCATACCATAATTTTTGCAAATTTCTATTAGTGTTTAACATCATATGCTTTGTCCTGTCTTTCAATATTTTAAGATGTTCGGCAAAAGAATTGGAGATGCTTCAACTGATTTCAGTGATGAGAACTTTGTCATATGGGCTAGCATTTTGTCACGGAATGTTAATGATCCTAAAGATTTATTCATTTAACACATACTTACTGTATTCCTATTTAGTTTCAGGTAGTGAAGCAAATATTAGGACAGAGAGTGGTAAGCAAGACAGAACTAACTATTTCCTGCCTTAAGGGTGCTGTGATCAAGCAAGAAGGTAGCCAGGCTGTTACAATACGTGATATATGAAACCACATTGTCCTGGGAGCATGTAGAAGGTCAACCTAACTTAGTGTAGAGGGAGCATCGAGGAAGGTTTCCTGGCGATGAGCTACTAATTGAAGAGGGAGGCAGTATAGGCCAGGGAAGTGGAGAGGAGTATACCAGGTCAAGGAACCAACATGGCAGAGGCTGGGAGTGAGGCAGAGCAGGGTGAATTCAGGGAAGTGAGAGATGTTGAGTGGTGTGGAGCGTAGGGTGTAGAGAAAGAGGGGTTCAGAAATAGGAGGCCAATTTGACCGTATGCCATGTTAAGGAATTTTGATTTTTTTTCCCTAAGGGATTGAGAATACCAGCAACAGAATGTTTGAGGCTGGCAACAAAGCAAACTTGTGGGATGGAGTGTGAGTGTATGTGCCTGTGCCTCTGTGTGTGTGTGTTTGTGTTACATAGAATTACAGTGTCAAAGACAAAGCATACACTAATTGAAGTGGTGCAAGCGTAGATTTTATAGAGAAAAGAGTCTGGTGTGAACGGAACTCAACTTCAGTTTGTGCAGAGGTGACTGGGTGTTGTAAAGGGAGAATGAGGGATTAGGAAGGAGGGATGGGATGGGAGGTAGAGGGGTATCTTGCAGATTCAAGGGAGTAGAAATGATAAGAAGCAGGAAAGGGGATTAGTTAATGTGAAACCCTTCTGGGTTTACTGACTGGCATCTGGAGCTTATGCCCTCATATAGAGAGTAGAAAGAAAGGCAGTGCTATCTTCTAGAATGTTTGCATTTTAAAGAGATGACCTCTTCTAAGTGGTGGAAGAGTTGCACCTCAAAGGGGCAGAGAAAGGATTTATAACTGTAAGCTTTCTGAAGTAATTGCTCTAAGAGGAGGTTCAGGGGCCTCTCTGCCTGTCATCAGGTTTTGGCTGGAACAAGCTGTAAATTTTCCTGCCAGTCTTGTACTTTTTCAGGTAGGAACTTAAAATGCGATTGGGATCACCCTAAGAACATGGCCATGAACTGTTAGAAACTATGCTAGTGTTGGTTCTGGTGTCTTAGTGGGAGGAGTAAACAAAATCATTTATGTTGAAAGTGTGGGTTTTTATAGGCCAAGGTTGAAGCCTGGTGTAGAAGAGGGCTCAGGAGGAGCCTGACTAGAGTTTGGTTAAGGTGAGAGCGTCTTTGTCGACATCAAGTGAAATAATCTGGTGGTGAGATCAGAGAATTAATATGTAGGGAGGAGTCAAGTGAGAGAGGTTGTTGTATCAGTGAATGAAGTGCCTGACTTTAGGATTTTGGAGGTAGTGCTCTTCTGGGAGAGAGCAAGTCCTAGGTATGGCCATGGAAGAGGAGTAGCAGAAGTGGAGAAGGTCTTTGGAGATGAAGAGATCAAGGAACAGAGTCTGGGAAAAAGTCACCTACATAAATGTTGAAGTCATCTAAGAGAACAGCAGCATTTGTAGGGGAAGCTGAAGGTGTTCTAGGTGTCAGAGATCCCAAGGGATGGAGACTGGTGACCTGGAAGTTTGTCGATGCCTGAAGTGAGGACAAGCAGAGGGCGTGGTCAGGTGCTAAAGAAACACATAAGAACACGTAAGAAAGAACCTCCAATCTCTGGGATATGTGTGGTAGGATGTGGCAGAAAGTTCAGCCTCCAAATGAAGTGAGCAATAGCCAGGTTTCAGTTTAAGCCTGTTCAGAGGAAATGTTAAGCAAGGATATTAGAAACACAGAAGGATTTGGGAATTTTCAGAGGTCAGTGGGAGAATTGGGATGTAGTGCAGCAGCTAGAAATTAGGTCAGAGAAAGGAAGCCCAGAACAGCAAGGGAGTTGAGAACATAACAGAGTACTCCCTCTTGGGCTGTGAGCAAGGATGACAGCAGTGTGCACATGGTGAATTTGGCCACAAGTGTGGTGAGTGAAAGGAAATGCTTTCAGTTACGTTTAGTTTAATATTACATTTTGATGCAGCTAGGTTTGTTGGTAGTATATAACCTGATCCCCAAAGTCTATAAACTTGCTCATTCTCATTAAGGAATTTGTAGGAATTTGTAATTGACTTAATTTATCAAGCCAAGTTAACACTTCCTGATGCTTTATTGACTTTTAAAAGAAGACTGTGTGAATATAAGAATTTCTTTTTCAGTTGTCATAATACCAGTGGGGTATAGCTTTTCTTGAGAAAGTAATATAGTTGTAACATTTAATAACTTGGTTTATATTTTACTTATAAATCACTTAAACATTATTTCCTGTTACTGTTCCCATCCCCCAGCATGCCCACCAACTCGATCCCAAGTATGTTATCCTTGATATTGGTTTTTTTTTTCTGTGCTTTTTCATTATTTTTTTTCCTCTTTTGCTTTCTTTTAAAAATGTATTATACTATTTAATAAAGCAAGATTTGAGAACCTTAAATAGCCTTTTGCCTAATTATAAGAATGTTTTAAGGAAACATTAAACTTTTATATTTAAATTTTTACAAAATAAATGGAGTGATTTTTTTTCCAGTAGGCGCTTCAGAATATTCCAGAATATTCATTTCTTTTACATATGCTTTTTCTAACTTGAGTAGGAGTTGATATAGAACTGTTGCTATGGTGAAGTGCATTCTATTTTGCAGGGTATAAATTTATATATAGGGATAGTGTTGAAAAAGAACTTACTATGTAAAACTCAATTTAAAATATTTTATAGGTGTTAATTATAAAATATAGCCTGAAAATAATTTCCTGAAAGCCAAATGACATTGTTGCTTTTGATAATCATGTAATTTTAAGAAATGGTCTTTTGTACATGTGATTATAAGTGTACTTTTCTGGATTCTGTGTTATGTGAACTTATTATAGTCCTTCTGAACAAGCCAACTTTCTGCCTACTTTTCTTCTCCGTTTTAAGAATACTCTTCACATTTCATAATCTGGCATTTATTTTGAATTTTTATTAGCATTATTTTATGAATATTTTGTTCTTAGAGATTTTGACACACTTTATGTCAGTATTGTGCTTGAGGTCAGATTACACAGAAGAAAGAGAATACCTCCCTGATCTGGTGGAACACACACCCAATTAAATTAACACTAATACTTACAAAGGCCATGAAGGAACTAACAGATTACATGGTAGAAAAATTGGCACCAAACTTGAACAGGCATTTCAAAGTAGAGGATATCCAAATGGTCCCTAACAGACTAACATTTTTTTGACCTGCTATATATTAGCTTTTCTAGAATACAAGAATATAGCAAAGGATTAGAGAGGAACTGTGAACTTTGAGGTGTTTGGGGGACCCTGGGTGGAAATCCTAATGTGAAGGTGGATAGATGGATATGAAGACCATGAGAGTGGTCTGAGCTAGAGTTACAGATTTTAGAATGAGCATGACATATGTACAGGAGTTTTGATTCTGTATCTGTCAGGGAAATTATATGAAAATGTAAAGAAGGCTGATGAAAAGGCTTTCTCAGGCATTAACACTGAAGGCATAGTTTTACTAAAAAAAAGTAGGTTTAAATGAGAACTTTTTAAGAATCTTTTTTTTTTATTTTAAGGTTACTTATTTACTTATTTGAGAGGGAGATAGTAAGAGAGAGAGAGAGGACAAGAAGGGGCAGCAGCAGACGGAGAGGGAAAAGCAGACTCCCTGCTGAGCAGGGAGCCTGACTCGGGGCTCGATCCCAGAACCCTGAGATCATGACCTGAGCCAAAGGCAGACGTTTAACCGACTGAGCCACCCAGGCGCCCCAAACTTAATCTTTTAAACATATTTACCCTACCTCATTTTCAGAATTCAGAGTTACAGTTTAATCTGAAGATCACACTTGTTACAATGGTAACCACCTGCTACTGTACATTCCTTTCTATCCTGTGGGACCTAGCTCTGTCGCATCTTCTAGGAAACCTCAGTTTGACTTCTCCAAGCAGAATTGAAAGGAATACTCTCTTACATCCTCTTTTTGTTTCCTTCCCTGATTCACGACATAATCTGAATATTTGTAGACTCAGCAGCGCGGGATCTCCCAGCTCCATCTTGCCCCTCTCCGGTGTATTTCTCCATTCTGCAGACACAGGGCTTTTCCTAACCTCTCCTAACACTCTCCATTTAAAATCATGCTGAAAATTCCAGCCATATAGTTCCCAAGTTGCTGTTCTTCTGGGACTTGGCAGATGGTATTCCCTCTGCCTAGAATGTCATCTTTGCCCACACCATCCACTCCTGCCTCACACACACCCACCACCCAACCCACCCCACCCTCTAGCTCCTGCTGTTCTTGAAGTCTTGTCTTGGATGTCAGTTTCTGCACTGAGCCTTTCCTAACCAGTGCTGGGTTGGGTACCCTGTCACTTACCCATAACACTCATATTTCTCCCCATTTTAGTACTTAACCAGTAAAT